AGGTCTGCACATCTTCTGGGCCAAGTTGATCTTGCACATGGTCTATAAGTTCCTGAAAGGCAAGGTGAGAAAGAGCAGTGAAGCTATAGTGCATCACGAGATGTCTCTGACATGTTTTCAATTGTTTTGCAGTTCTAATTCTTACGTGATACCACTTGATGCAAACAAGCAAAGAGTCCAATTAAAAGGACGACAGGGAGCATCCAGAAAACTGAACCAGTCAGCTTTATGTCCTCATTCACAGCCCTGTGGTCACAAGAAAATAAATCAGTGTCACCCACTCATTTGTTTTTGGACCTTCTTCGTAGTTTGTAGTGTGAAACCTTCTGTTTTCTTCCTCAGCTGGAAAAAGATGAACGCAGTGATGAAGAAAGTGAGGTTGAAGAGGAAGAGGAGGATAAAGGGGGAGAGGAGAACAAGGACCCAGGAGTTGACTGTTACTGGGAGAAAAGTAAAGACTCTCTTAACTCCAAACTGTCTATGCTCACCAACAGCTGTGTCCTTAACAACCTGGCCAACCACAGGTCGTCTGTGGTGGACAGAATGCGTAAAGCTCAGTAGAAACGTTCTCCGTCCGTTGTTTTCCTTTACTAATGTGAACTGGGTGTGTTCAGTCAGAGCGGTGTCTGTGAGTCAGATGATGCTACTGTCCTTCACTTTTAACTGTGAGAAACTGAAGCAGAAAACATTCTCTTTAAAGCCGGTGTCATAAAACAGGTGTCATAGCGCCCTGCTACACACAGGAAGCACAATCCTGAGCCTCAGTAACGCTGTACAATGATCCATAATGATTCACTGTCTTTAAAGAGGGACGGCAGCCTTCATTTGAAATGTTTTGTGCTTGCTAATGTCCACTGTAGCCTTCACTGCACACGGTTTTCTTTTTATTTATTAGGCTCACGAAGCAAACATTTAAAAGTACAACAGAGATTATTAACACGGACATAAACCAATATCGAAACAAAAGAGCAGGTTGATGTATGTTCATGCGTAGATAGAAGTGCTCTTTAATTACTGTAAAATACTGTTACATTTAAATGCTGAAAATAAAATGATCATTTAGTCTTTCTACCTTTATTTCTTTTTTTGGTTAAAGATTTTGAAAACCACCTCAACCGGCTCCTCATATCGAAAGGAGCCAGTTGAGGTGGTTCGGGCATCTGACAAGGATGCCTCCTGGGCTGGGCGAGGTGTTCCGGGCCTGTCCCACCGGGAGGAAGCCCCGGGGCAGACCCAGGACACACTGGAGAGATTATATCTCTCGGCTGGCCTGGGAACGCCTTGGTGTTCCCCCGGACAAGCTGGAGGAGGTGGCTGGGGAGAGGGAGGTCTGGGCCTCTTTTCTTGGGCTGCTGCCTCCCTGACCCGGCCCCGGATAAGCGGAAGAAAATGGATGGAGGGATGGATTTTGAAAAATATTTCAGTATGTGATTTTGTAGAATTAAAGTGCTGTGCAAAAGTCTTCAGCCACCCAGGAAGATGGGGTGGAGGTGCAGCCATTTAGTCAAAAGTGTTTACGCAGAAGTGGAAAAAATTCATAGAAGGAAAAAGTTTATTGCTCTAAACCTCTTGAAGGGCATTCAAAGTTCTTCTTTGGATGTTCGCTGCCTTTTGTACTGTTCTCTGTGTAAAAAATCCCACACTGCTCGAATAATGTTGAGGCCCGGACTCTGGGGAGGACAGTCCATGATTCATAGTGTTTCATTGTGTGCCAGATGTATTTTTCTTAGATTTCTGGAACAAATTATGTGTTTAAGTAGCAAAAAATACAATTAAAAACTATTTTGTTGGTAAGCTGTGTAGACACAACACTAGTTCATCCCAATGATTATAACAAAAAATCAAATCTCATACAGTCACTGATTCATCATTAGGTTAGGTGCCTTTTTAATGCTTTCATGATTTATAGAACAGTAATAAGAGTCTTAAATAAACACAAAAACTTTGAAAGATCTTCAGAAATCTTGGAGAACTGTTTGTGTTATTTTTCCAGGATCACTTTACACAAATAAGTAAGGGTGGCTAACGAGTTCTGCACAGTACTGTGGTCTAAGGAGCGTCTGGACTTCTTTAAGTTGCTTGAACACGTTTCACCTCTCATCAGAAGCTTCCTTAGTTCTAAGGGCAAATGGTGGAGAGTCCCAGATTTAAGCCCTGTGGGAGTGTCCCCCCACGAGAGACATGGACCCCCTAATGATCCTCTACCTAATTACACAAGCCAAGGTGTGAAGACGGGTGTAGGTCACAATCAGCCAAGGTTTGGGGTGAGCTCATTGTGAAACCCACTTTCGTGTGAGGTCAGATGGCCCAGGATGAGAGTGGGCGTTAAGGTGTCTGGGAAGGGAACTGGATTATAGATGGCCGACAGTTGGTGTCGTAAACCACCGCCTCTGTTCGAAGATGGTCGCTCACAGTGGACAGAGATGTCTTCTTTCAGTCCTCTTTCAAACTGACCAAAATGTGAACTTTGGCATCCTCGAAAGCGTGACCTTTGTCCTTTAGATGGAGAAGCACCGCCGAGTCTTGTCCAGCGGAGGTGGCTCTTCTATGTTGTGCCATGCATTGTGAAGTGGCTGTTTGGTCTCTCCGATGTAGAGGTCTGGGCATTCCTCGCTGCACTGCACAGCATACACCACATTTTTGAGTTTGTGTTTAGGAATTTTGTCTTTGGGATGAACCAGTTTTTGGCTGAGTGTGTTGCTGGGTCTGAAGTACATTGGGATGCCGTGCTTGGAGAAGACTCCTGAGTTTTTCCGAGCACCTTAGACTATGATGACCTGGATGACCGAGAACCTTCACAGACACAGTACTGTAGATTAAACAGTGTCACTATCACCGCTGTTGTGCATCGCCATCTGCTGGCAGCTTCTACAACCACACTAAGGAGGTCCACAGACTTGAATTGCAAAAAGGTTTAATGACCATAATATCACTTTTATGTGAAACCTCTCTCTCTCGAAAAAGAGTTGTTTTTTTAAAATGCACACATAGTTACAAATGTTCCAGCAGAAGAAGAGACGAAAAGCATTATGGTCTGTGATGGAAGTCTTTCCATGAGCCCTTTGTTTTGGAATAAAATGTCCGTAGCTCCTGATGGGTGATTAGAAAGATTCACTCTAGAAGTGATTCAGGCGAATACATCCGTTCAGTTTGTTCACAAGAAAAAGCTCAACTTCTCTCTTTTATTGTTTCTCATGTGGGCTTAATGATCACTCATATTTTATTAATCAATAGTGTTTGACTTAATTCTTATATTATCAATGCTACTAAGAGCAGGACTTCTTTTCTATTTAGTTTAAATCTATTCGTCTTAAATTAAATAGTCCAAGGACACAACGACCGAGACTGACCAAGCTGGGGCTCGAACCGGCAACCTTCCGATTACAAGGCGAACTCCTAACTCTTGAGCCACGATCGCCCCAATTGTCCTCGCTTTCCTCTCTTCCTCTTTTCTTCTATATTTGTTTTTTCAATAATTATTATTTCATTCTTATTGTACTTTCTAATTCTGAAGTATTTCTGTTAATTGATTTCGTGTCATTCATCATAGCAAACACTTGCAGTTAATCTGCGACCTGTTAGTGAGTTTCATCCCAACGTTAGTTACTCCCTCTGTGCAGCAGTCTCAGCAGGACAGATTAAAAACAAAGCACTGGATAAAACTTGTTCACAGCGCTCTGCTCACTGAGTTTCTGAGCGGCTGGTGAACAGAAAGCTTATAAACTTTCTTCTCCTTAACTTCTGAAACGATCATTTTTGTCTGGGAACTCAGTGCACAGTATTACTACATTCATTTTGCTTTATAACTGGATTGGTGTAACTAACAAAGCTCTGTGCATGTAGTAGTACATGCCCACAGTAGCTGTAACCATTAAGTTACTGTCTCACGCTCTTTGCTGGGAAACAGCTTGAGGATGGACTCACCCTGTCAGAATATAACATCCAAAAAGGTGGATTTCACCACGATGGAAGAAAACTGCTGTTTGTTTAATGTTTTAAAGTTGCATTGATAGTTATATACACATGTCTTTCTCTCAGATTCCAACCCTCACCTTGTCCTGCGTCTGAGAGGGGGCATCATTGAGCCATCACTGAAGCAGCTGGCTCAGAAGTACAACTGTGACAGGATAATCTGCCGCAAGTATGTATACAAAACCAGCACACACAAATATTAGCGAGACTGAACTCATTCTCGGAGAGGTGAGGGGATAATTCAAAAGATATTTTGAGCGGATTGCTAAAAACTGATTCCACTCGATTTCATCTTTTTGCAGGGTGCATGGGAAAGGTCCGAAGAAGTAAAACCTTTAGTTGCTCCTTATGCACATGAGGTTTGATTTATTAGCAAGGCTAAATAATTACTGAGTGGCTGATTAAATAATTTTCCACTTTCAAAGAACAGTTGGCAGAATCAAATTCAGTGGCACATTTTAGGTTGACTGGGAATAAGCTCTCCCAGAGCTTTGGCTCCAAGTTGAGTGTTAGCAGATACATATCACAGCCCTCAGTAAAGCAGCGATCTACAGATTCCATCTCACTAATCTAAAGATTTCTGTCATCCGTCTTAGGTGCTATGCTCGTCTGCATCCACGTGCCATCAAGTGTGGACACACCCGCAACATCAGAATGAGGATTCTGTAATCTGATTACACAATCCAGCCGTTAAAAATGCTCCATCAGATTGAATAAAACTCTTTTAATACTGAAGAAAACCTTTTTTACCTCTTATTTTGAAATGTGTTAAACATCAAAATTGAAGAAAACGTGATCGTAACACATTTTTTGCCATATTTAGATCTTTTCCAAAGTTCAGCTTAATCAGGATGTGAATACGAGCTGAATGATTAAAAGAAAAAAATAGATTATAAAGTTGGCCAGTATATTTTTCAAAAACACATCAGATTTATCTACAGTCTGTAGAGTAAACCAACAACATAGCAACCCTGTGTTTTTAATTTTTATTTTGAAATAATATTACTGGATTGAATTTATAATTTTTAAAAAAAAATAACAAAGCGTTATTGAATGTAGGTAATAGTATTACATTTTGAGTTTTGAGTCAGTCGCACCTGCAAATGATGGTAAATGGACTGGTTCTTATACTTAAGTACTCAGAGCACTTCCAAGACATCTCATTCATTCTTTCATACAAGCATTTTTTTCAGTGTCCCAAGTATTTTCTATGCAATATTCACCAAAGAAAAACAAACAAACCCAAGAAGAAAAAAAAGACGAAATGCTGCATAAAGTGATTTTAATGTTTGCTTTTATTTTCAAACCACCATGACGCGGCCCAGAGAGCCGACATCACCGTTCACATTCATCCTCCATACAGTAAGGCTTAAAAAATGTCATATGATACAGTCTGTGTGATGAAAAGACTCTGAAGTAGACATTGTTTTTCTTTTTTAACGTATTTAATTATTCATACAGTACGGCCACAATCTCAAGGCCTATGGCATACTGTCCACAGCTAAAGGTAATGTGCTCAAAAGTAACAGAAGGCAGAAAACATCTTACATTTCTTCAGATGCATCACACCAATGAGAGAAACGTGTTCATTAAGATGTGAAGCTATTGTAAATAAGTTACTAAGTTAGTGCTTTGTTAGTAGATGATGCACAGCATATCATTCAGACTGGACAAGCTCAAAAGTCACTTATATTTACCTGTAAGACTAAGTGATGCATTTTAATTTCCTATGGTTACTTCTTAAGTGCAGCTTATTGATTTATATCATTTGGAAAACCACTGTTATGCTAACTTTAATTGCTTAATATTTCCTACTTACTATCATGTACTTAAGTAGCTTACTGAGGAATCAAAAGTTTCCTAATACAAGAAATGAGGATGTGATAAAAGACGCGCCACGGAAAACTCTTTTTCCCCCTCTGCTCTTAACATTTGATCTTTGGTGTCAATGTTTAGATGCTGTTGCTATTCAAGTTGCATGTCCTAGATTAACCACATTATCGACAACTACGAGCACACGCCTTCACTATCCTTGAATATTCCTTTGAAAAAATAACACTGGTCCTTCACATTACACAATATAGCTGCTAGATTACGTATGGGTAACTACAAGACCTGTGTGAACTGTTAACCCAGTAATAATTATGGCGTATGCAGGCTCTTAAATAAGCTAAACTTCTTTTTTTTGTCTTGTGCGTTCACTTTTCAGCTCCTCTGTTTCTAAGCATGGACTCATTTTGTTGTAAAGATGAAAAACAAGGCCTCTTATTGTTCATATTGACACTGCATTGTGATTTTGGGTACAAAGGTGATCCTTATGAAAGACCAGAAGCACCAGTTCTAAATCCTAAATGACTAGCATTGTTAAGCACTTACCTTATAAGTTGGTTTATTGCACTGAGTGTTACCCTCGAAAGCAACATGAAGCGTTACGTTAAGTCGGGACAAGCTCTACCATATATATGCTGCTGCTCAGAGTCAGCGCGATGTTGCCGTCACTGCTGTGACACAGACCTTCCTGCAGCCGAGGTGGGTTTTGTGCTTGAAGAGGACCGGGACCAGCTCCTTCTTATTTTGTTTACTGCTTCCTGCCGGAACCCCTGTCCTCTCTTCCATTTCTCTTACAGGTTGCACTCTGCCATGTTTCACCCACCCTTCCTATTTGTCAATAAGTTTAACAAGGCTCTGGCGGAGGTCGTTAAGGTCAAAGATCTTGATGTCCAGAATTTCTATGGCTCTCTGGATCTCAGTATCCAAGCGATCCCGGTCCTCCAGAGAGTTACTCAGGTTCTGCTCCGTGTTCTGGATGCGGCGTTCCAGGTCCGAGTTTCGCATCTCCATCTCCTGAAGCGAACGGTAAACACAGAAAAGGCAGAGGGAAATATTAGAAGGTTTACCAGAACCCGATAAGCAATGAAAACATGCCGAGTTACTGTAAAAACGTCACTCCTACCCGTAATCTGTGGATGGCCTCGTCACGCTGATGCTCCATTTCGTGGTACTCTGCTTTTTTGCTTTGCAAAATGTGAATTTCCTAGAGAATGAATGAAAGGTACTCATCAAAAAGTCAGTTTTTGTTGATGTGCCTTGTTATTTAGCAAATGTCCAACCTCATCTTTAGCCTTCAGCAAGGCCTCCAGCTCCTCCAGGGACTGGGTCAGCTCATCCTTCAACAGATCACTGGGGCCGTGGGCTTCAAGGTCAGCCACCTTATAAAACACAACAATGGAAATGTTGTGTATGTAAGACAACGTTTTAAAAAGCTTTTATTTGGTCCAGACTATTACTGGTTTGATTCAAATTATTTTTCCCTGGTCTACTTAAAACAATTGAACTATAATGAGAACAAAGACAATGTGAAATGCAGATCAGAGTGACCTCGTGTTTGGTCGGGTTTCTCAGATTGGTTGAGATGTAGGGAACACCTTGGTCAGCCATTCATGCTCACAAACACACCTCTGACCAGCTTAAAATTAACCTTACATGGATGTTTTTCGACATCTTTGCAGGCACAGAGAGAGCACGAAAACTCCACACAGAAAGGCTCCAGTCGGCCCATCCAGCCTAGTTTAACACTATCCTGTGCAGCTTTTCTCCAACACAACGCCTCTTCCTCCGTCTGCCTTGGTTTCATAAGAGTGCTGTGGAAGAGGACAAAATGCCACAAAGACGAATTCGCACGCTGGCTGGCACTTCACCATGTGTACAATCCAGAAATAGCTTTGGTGGGCAAACACAAACAGCAGCACTGCTTTCTATGCACTGAAAAGGAAGCCCTGAGCAGTAAAGTTACACATTTTTGCACCATGCCATCCAGTCTAAGAGCTGAAATACACATACACACAGTCTAAGGTGGAGGTTATGGCTTGATCACAGCTGATAGAACATTATTTAATACAGCTAAGCAAGAATCTGTGGACACACTGCTATCTCTGAGATCAAACTTTAGAATAGCATGCTAACGTGCAGAGTTAGCACTTGATATTATATAAGTGTAATGTTTACCATGTTTACCATGTGCTGATTAGTCTTGGAGGTACTTAATATTCAGCTAAATAAACTGATTTCTGACCTGATGATGTCACTGCGATCAGTTATGACACTCCATCCTAAGGGAATAGCTATGCCAAATTTTATCCAAATCATTGATGACTACTGCTACGTCAAGCTATAAATATTAACCAAAGTGTGGCTCTAATATAGTATCTGCATAGACATTAGAATTCACCAGGAATAAATGTAAACATGGTTACCCATCCCACTGAATTTTACAGTCTGGATTAAGGTAAAACACAACCAAAATAACTGAAGCACAGCTAAAAACATTAAAAGGACTTATTCTAGCATTCGTCAGAACGTTTTGATGATGCACTCAGTTTGGACCATCCATCTATTTTCTTATCGGCTTATCCAATTTAGGGATAAGCAGGGCTGCGGAAGCCAATCCCAGCTGTGCCAGGGCAAGAGATAGGATGCACTCTGGACAGGTCACCAGCCCATCACAGAGATAACACACAGAGACAGCCATTCATGCTTACTTTCACGCCTATGGCCAGTCAAAATCACCAGTTAACCTACAGCAGGGGTAGGCAACTCCAGGCCTCGAGTGCCGGTGTCCTGCAGGTTTTAGATGTGTCCATGATCCATCACAGCTGATTTAAAGGGCTAAATGACTCCTCAGCATTTCTTGAAGTTCTCCAGAGGCCTGGTAATGAACTAATCATTTGATTCAGGTGTGTTAACCCAGGGTGGGATCTAAAACCTGCAGGACACCGGCACTCGAGGCCTGGAGTTGCCTACCCCTGACCTACAGTAACATGCATGTGTTTGCACTGTAAGAGGCAGGATAACCCTCTACACCGAAAGGCCCCAGTCCCTGCACCACACTATAGTAATTCAGACATAAAAGCCTAAAGATTTTAACAACGACATGAAACGTAAAGGTGAATAACAGGAAAACTCAGACTTTTAACACCTATAACTCTTATCAAAGCTAAAGAGCTCATCAGCGGACAGAATTAAACTTATCACAGAGAGCACTCAACTCTGTTTGCTTTCAGTCACACCTACAGATGGCTCACAGCGTTCACCTGCAACAATAAGCGGCTACTTCTACTATAATGAAGCCGTAGAAGAGCAACACTTTAACGAATGAAATCCTCATTGCATTGCATTTCATCTGAGCTCCATGAATTAGAAAGAAAAACAGAAGGACACCTCCAAAAACACCCCGAATGCCCCGTTGGATTATTTTAAACGGCGTATGGTTTAGACTCAAAAGAAGAAAAGAGGAAAAAAAAGAGAGAGAAACAAGTGGATGCCAACTCCCTCTGGTGATTTTTCATTTTTTCCTAACTGGGGCATTGAAAGTAGGATATTGCTGTCCTACAAACCCCCCTCTCCCTCTCTCTCTCACACACACCACCCCGGAGACATGAACCATTTTCAGCCACCTGGTCCCCTTCCTCAAACAGTAGGAACTAGCTCGGTCCAAAGGAGACGGGGTTCTCACTTGTATGATTAAATCAGTCGATGTGGACCAAAATAGTGAAAGCTGTTTCTTGCTGAAATACCAGGGGAGTGCTTACAAATGAAACAGTAGTGATCGATACTGTAAGGCTGGGCTGTAATGGAAAGGGATCGAGGTGTTAAAGCATCAAATCAGAGAGGTTTGTAAATGTCAGCCTGAGGCGAGGTCGTCCCCAGAGGAATCAGCTCCCAGCAAATATGAAAATACCTTTTATTGATGAGCGGGTACAGGGAGGGCAGCGGCATCTGCATCCACCGGAGCCTGAGAAGTAATTCAAGTGTAAAACCCTCGTGAGGCTCTGTGTTTAGACCGAACTCCCTCGTGGCGAAACGTGAAATTTGGCGTGTACTTAGTGAACCGCTTCAACCAGCACAGATAATGCCTTGATTAAAGCTTCTGAGGGAAAAAGCCTCCAGCACAAGTCAGAGATTGATGGAGTGTGTTACCAGCAAAGCTTCTTTTTTCCGAACAACCAGTTTCAAAACAAGGAAATGAAGAGTCTGCAAAGGACAACCCAATCAAAAGCAGCAGGGCTTCGCTCAGCAGCGTAGAGGCACACAACCCCGGATCAGTCTTGCAGCAATATCTCTCCGTTGCTTGTGCAATCTTACTTGTGTTCCTGTTCCACAGCTTTACACTCCAGAAATGATCACTAGGTGTGACCTTAACCATTAGTTTCTACTCCACAGGTTACTGCAGAGTTGTATAAGAGCTTCAGAGGCCAGAGGAGAAAACTTCTCAGCTTTTAGACTCAGAATTTTAACTTTTTGTTAACCGTATGTCTCAACTTTTAGGTCACAGATGGTGCATTATCATGAATAACTAATCCCTCCGTTCTTTAAACTCCTTATTGTGCTGATAGTTGGTGGATGGAGCCTTCTCAGCCAGAGTGCATTAGACAAGAGGCGATGTGAGGCAGTGGGAAATTCTGAGTGTGTCTTTGGACCAGTGGAGAAAAGTGAAAACCCAGAGTACAGAGATATTTTAATCTGCTTTTTTGCTATTGAAAACAAATTATTATGAAATAAAACAATAAGATCATTCAGCCAATTTCAGCATCTGACTCCAGCACTCTTTAGAAAGCATTAACAGGATTTAAAGGAAAGGTGATGTTTGCATTGCTACACTCACTTTACAATAAAGCTTCCATCACCCAAAAATGACTCTTTTTAAAATGCAGTTTCAAACCATCTGCTTTAAAATGATTTCGTTTACAAGGTGACTTTCTGCTTAAGCATCCAAAGCAAAACTCACATGTGGGATGTTATAGTCTCACATAAAAGTTGGAGTGCAGGGATACAAAGAAGCTATGAAGACAAAAGCTACTATACACAATAAAAAAGTGGGAGGTTAAAAAGTCCTGGGAATGAGGAAGAAGAATTTAGTCTGCAGCGTGTAGGTGTACTCAAAATTAAAACATGTACTCTGTTGAGCTTATTGTAAGTTTATTTTAGGTCATTATGTCTTCATTAGATTCTGAAAGTTTTAGACAGGTACATGGGGAGAGATGGGGGCGTGACACGCAGCAGGAGTCCCAGACTTAATCCAGATCTCCTGCTGCATGAGCTCAGCAAAACAACACTTTTTCCCCCAGCTTTTTAAAATGTATCTGTGGCCAGCAAATGCCAGACAATTTTGGATATTATTGGCATAAAGCTTAGTAATGGATCTCATTGTTATTGTTCACTGATGGAGTAGTAGTGATGTATACTCTTAGTGGGGGTTTTTTCCAGTTCAGATCCAAGGAGTTTGATTTGTAGCAGTCATAAAGATAAAGAGACAAAACCAATAGTAATAGTAATTACTGCTTTTAACAAGAAAAAAAAAATCCTGTATTTTATATGTTTCTATAATTTAATAGGTGAGACTTCAGGGTGAACACACTTCATCAGAGCATCCTCAAACTCCCTGAGGCTCACCTGGTCTCTGAGTCTTTCGGTCTCCTCCTGATATGCTGTCAGCTGTTTCTTCCACTGCTCCACGTTAGCATTCGCTTCATGCAAAGCTGCCACCAACTTAGAGTTGCTGTCCTGTAAAGTGAAGAGCTCAGCTTCCAGGTTCATCTCACAAATAGACCTGAAAAACACGAATACCAATACACATCTACGTCAAATCCAAAACTACGCACCCTGCCTCCCGCCCTATGGCAGCTGGGATAGACTCGAGAGCCGTTTCATCAGTTGCTGTTTCAGTGAGCTGGACCTTAACTTTCAATCAGAGTTTAAAAAAAAAATGTTAAAATTCCTCACAAAGAAGAAAAACTGTTACTTAATAAAACAAAAGCAACAATGCTTTTTAGATTTTAGATTTCATTAAGTGGAGTCATATCTGACTCTGTATCCCGCTATATAAAATTGAGAAAACTGATCAAACAATGTAGTGCAAATTTAGCTGATTCTGATTCAGGTACTTACAAATCTTTACAGGGAAAAAAGCTTATGCAGTGTTAGTAATAAACAAAACTGCCACATGTTGATGACTTCAATATTAAATCGAGTCTTGTGTCAAGCACTGCAACATGAGGATAAAAAACAATAGCTGGTTGTGGAGTAACAAGCAAGCTGTACTGCTGCCAAGAGTCTGGAACATGATGAAACTCTGATAGTCTGGTTAACACAATCACAGAGCCACTACACAAGGGTTAAGGAGGCTGTAGCCTGCAGCCGCACACCTAAAGGGCAGACGGAAACTTATTTCACAGGTCTGGTGACAAAGCAAAGAAACACTTATTAAAGCCCCAACCCCGACCCAGAGAGCAGAGATCAAACTGACCGACTGCATCAAGAGACGTTGGAAAGGAAAAAGACAAACGAAAGATGACAGATGATGATGACAGATAAAGATTTGTGTATTTTTCACATCTTTCCATCACGGTTCTTCAGTCCCCACTGACGTTTGTTCCAGTTTAAAATGAAGTGACCTTGAAACTTCTTTATCTCTCCGGCTTTAAACTGAATTTCCTGCACATTTGATGAATGCATGACTTGTAAGCGAGTAAGACAAGCCAGTTCCCACTCCATGAGTCCACTTTTATGCCACCTGCACAGAAGACATATACGATGATTGAATTTGATATGCTCTTTTCATCTTTGATCCTTTTCCTTTGCTCTGTCCTACATCTCCAAAGCTTGATGTTGTAAACTGGCCACACTTTGCCATGGTAACCGTTCAGGAGCTGCTTTCTTCGTGGTAATTGGACTATAGGGTATAAAAGCATTGTGGGTGGCTCAAAGCACTGAATGGAGGGATGCTTCCAAGCCTCATTCAGTGTTATGTATGAGTCAACACTTCGACAATGGCCTGTTCATTTCCTTAGGAGCTTCACAAACTGAATGACGTCAGCGGCGTTAATTAACACTGAAAAAATGAAAACCATGATAACACTCAGGAACCAAAAAGGTAATGGATTGTCTGGTTAAGTGCAGCCAGAAGCACAGTCCACTTGAAATTTGAAAAACCCTCATGATGTTACAAAGAACGTTTGTAAAACACAGTGCGTGGTTACAGCAACTACTAGATTGTTATACTGTATTTTTCCGTCAGGGTGGCCACGTAGAGCGGGTCATCGACCAATCAGAATGTCAGTGGCTCAATCTCTGACCCCTATAAGTCCACACGCTCAAGTAGATGCTGCATGTCCTTGAACCATTCAGGTATGTTTTAACGCAATTCTTGAACATCCCAGGATTGGATGTTCAAGAAAATGAAACCCAAGATCACAATGTGCAATACTCACAGAAGTTTCAAAAACACCAAGAGTTACATCTCAGACTCATTAGAGGTTAGCATGGTAAATGCTGACGTTCATGACAGCACACTGGGACAATGTGCTGTGGACAGACGAGACCAAAGCGGAGAAGTTAGGCCATAATACACAGCACCAGAAAACCAAACACAGCATGTCAGCACAAACACCTCATGCCAACTGTTAGGGGTGATGATTTGGGCTTGTTTTGCATCTACAAAGTTGAACTGCTCCGTATATTAAAGTACTCTAGAGTCAAATGTGAGGCTGACAGCTAAAACTTGGCCCAAACTCAGTCACACAACAGGATAATGATCCTAAAGACAGCAGCAAATATACAACAGTATGGACAAAAAAGAAGGTGTTACAAGAGGCCCAGTCAAAGTCCACCTTCAACCCGATTGAAATGCTGATGTGAGCTGTGCATAAATTAATGCCTGTAGGCCTTAATGAGCTGAAGCAGCGGTATAAGGAAAAGTGGGCCTGAATTCCACCACGGTGATGTGAGAGATGACAAATTAAGTTATTCCACTTCCAAAAAATTCAATTCTCACATGACCGTATGTATCTGTAAATACAGTCTGTTCATATTCTAAAAAGCCAGTCTTCCTCTTCATAATGGCTAAATACAAAAGCATAAAACTAGCCATGTTGCGCTGATGCAAACCCAGGTATAGTGGAACTGCAAAGGCTTGGCATTACCAACATGGCTGTCGAGTTGTGAGATTTACCTAGAAAACCTTTTTCACTGAAGAAGGTCATGGGGTGTGTTTGAAATCAGGCTGTTTCAGCTCTCAGTAATGAAACTTCAAGGCTTCCTTGGTTTCATTTCTGTGTGTGTGTGTGTGTGTGTGTGTGTGTGTGTGTGTGTGAGTGTGTGTTGTGTGTGTGTGAGTGTGTGCTGTAGTTACCCCTCACCGAGAGCATCTTTTTAATGCGCTCCTTCTCAGAAGACAGGGTGATGTCTGCGCTCTGGCTGCGAAACAGCTTGTCCTCCGGTCCATTCACGCACATCACCGGTGGAGACTGGAGTTCATCCGAGAGGTCCTGAGAAACACATCAGTAAATGGACTCTCATAATAACTAATGCATAATTTTTAAAAAAAAAAAAAAAAACCAGACTCTGCATTAAATGGATTTATTCAAAGTGAAGAGAGACCGCCTGCTTTTAGATGTTAAAATCCCATTCAAGTCAAAGTCTGCATATAAAATCAAGCAAAGCTATACAGCTCGTGATAATAATAAATGACTCTCTCTTCGCGGTCTTGTTCTCGATGGACTGACTGCTGTAACACGATAGTTTTAGCGTCTGATAAATGAGAAGCTTAGAGCTGTCTGCCCATCAGAGAAGGTATAAAATGTATAAAACTCAGAGGCAAGAAGAAAAACTAAAGATGCTTCCTGCACAGGTGTTTTACATTTCCTCTAAATAATGACTCACCTGTGAGAACTGCAGAGGAAATCCGTGAGGTGGAAAAAACGGAAAAGAAGAACATATCACCACGAAGCACACAACACGAAACGACCTTTTCAACACATCACAGTCAGAAAGCGTACTTTGCGGACTGATCAGTTATGCAGTGCAGTGCCACTTAGCAAGTACAATGAATTGAAGCAGTTGGCAATTTTCTGGAGCTTTGGCTCTCCCAATGTGTTCGTTAAATCGATCGGGAGTGAGAGACGTCACTTGGAACCTGCTCAGCCATAGAATTAAAAAGGAAATAGGCATGTTCCTCAAGATCAGGCAGATGTAACTGAAGGCTGATTATTCTTTATTGATGGAAAAGGGCCCTGAGCTGACTACGTTTTCATCATTAGAAGTGTTTCAAGTCAGAGGCTTCTGGGTAGCTGTGGGGAGAAAATGTGAGTGTGGTGTACTGCTGAGCAGCATCGGATAATTTTACCATCGTCCTAGTTTTCCTCATTTTCACTTCCCTCTGAGACAACTGACCCAGCTCACATTTCTTTTGCTTTTCGTTCCCCTCTCTCCCCGTCCCTCCTTTGATTTAGTCACAGCGGCCCTGTCTAATAGCTGAGCTGCAGCAAGTAATACAGGTGCATTCATCTAATCATCTAATTTCAGTCTTGAAATGCCCAAAATGTGCATGAATAACAGAGGTTTCACATTTACAGCTTCTCGGTGACACTCACAAACCTTTGCTCTTCTTTCATGCTCATGCTTTCTAAAAGGACGGCGCTCACCTGAGGAGCAGCGATGGTGAGCGCAGTGTTGGCCAGTTCTTTGTCCTGTGACTTTTCTCGCGCCAGACGAGCTGCATCTTTCACCTCCTTAAACTTCTCTGCAAACTGTACAGGAGAGGGCAAGTCATGACCTAGACAATGCAGCACAAACCCTCTACAAGAAATGGATGGCACATTTTTAAAAGTGCTGTACTTTGACCTACCTGATGCAGTTGCTGCTCTGTGGCAAAGCCCAGACCGTAGACCGTGTTGGCGCGGCTGTCAGCCCACTGACCAAACTTCTGAGACGTCTTAGTAAATGTCATGCTGGGCGTAACAGTGCAGTTGATAATTGCCTGCAGATAAAGAGATAACAGAGGTCGTCCCCTTAGGTGCAGGTGAAGAGAGCAGATGGCTCTGGGAGCAGACGCTATCTTCCTTCTTAGACTATGGCAGCAACATGCTCTAACTGAGGCACTGCAAGTTATTATTTTTATTTCTTATGATAACTTATGACACATTTCACCAGTGAATGGTAACATTTTACTCTTACTTTACTAAGAAAGTTATCAAAATGCAGTTTTAACCGCAGATGACCTCTCCACAAATTGAGGCAGAATATGGAAGAACATCTCGATAAATGAATGCATCAACTTATGGACCTGGAGGAATGCTGAGAAGAACTGGATGAGGAAGAGCATGAAGAGACAAAGAAGGAAACTTTGGAGCAGCTGGATGAATTCAATGACTTATGTCAGGAGATGAGATCATTGTGGATGAGCTCAGTGGCTGATGAGCCGTTGGAGGCTTGGCTGATGCCTCCAAAACCTGGGAGTTGATACAACTCTTTCCTTGAAGCAGCCGGGAACGACTGAGAATAAGACAGGCAGAGATGGGCCCGGATGTGATGATGGGGAAACTGTTACCAGCTGTGTACACACAGCAGAAAATTTACATCCTCACAGCCTTGAGAAAACTTGGAGAGAGTCTTACTCCAGAAGATGAGACTTTTCTCACTGAAAACACCACAGCGACACTCAGACTCAGTTTGAAAAAGTGACTGCAAAACAAGGGTTTTAATAAAAATTTAAAAAAGCCTTTAGTTAGCTGTGGCGTGAAAACCAATTCTACAGATGTGCCTCTGGCTGCTCAGAAGATCCACCAACTGGGGGGTAAGTGGTTCCCTGGCTGATTGCTGACGTATCCCTGGGCAGATGTAATGATATTTATATAGCAGTTCTTCTACTCTGAGCACAAAAAGTGCTTCATTCACTCAAACACATCTCTACTCTTAAGCACCATATCTATTATACTAAAACACCCCAGTAGATAAAACTCCATGTCAGTATCTTGGCCAAAGATACTTCAACTTGAGGACACTGGAGTAACCAGGAATTAAACCAACAACCTTTCAGTTGATAAACGACCCGCTCTACCTCCTGAGCCTCAGTGGGAATGTTAGGTTTAAAAGAACTAAGGCGAATGGGTGAGAGCAGTAAGTAGAGTAGAAAAGTGCTATATAAGTACTAGTCCATCTATGATTTAATAACTAGACAACACCTCAATATGCATTTTCCTACTGAATTCCACTATTTTTCCCATCCTGATAAATACCGTATGATATTCACTTTGTAAATTACATTTCCATTTAAAGTAAAATAGTAAATAAAGCATGTCAAAGGGAAAATCCCTCTGCAGACTTACAGTGAGCACTGAAGGAAGTGAATGTAATATCTGAATGTATAAAGCGGGACATGTTTTGGGAGTAATGCCCGGCAGGTGTTAACGTGTTTGTTTGTGGTCAAATTTAGTCACACCAATGGAGTCACAGCAGAGCGAGATCGATATTAGTAACTGAAGCGTACCAAGATCAAAGTGAAGGTCGAGTACGCCAGTGTGCCCCATCAAACCATACACACTCTCTTTACGTCCCCATCACACCTTCTTCTGAATGTTTAATGCACCATGTAACTCCCCATATGAAGACTGTTTACTGGTGTGTAAACAGAATGCTTTAAAGGATGTGCGCAGATGTTGTAACAGGGTTCACATTTTAGCTATGTCAAGGATGTGGCATCCAGCTTGGCATTTAACTCTGTGGTCCAAAGTTAAGTGTTTCATCAGCCACGGCATGAAAGGGGTGGTCTTGGACTTTAGCACCGACACTCACGGTCCCTACTCACTTTGTTTATTCCCATCAGTGAGATTGAGAGTTTTAATGCTTCCACAAGCATCTGGACATGTTGTTATTACGTTTGGTTCACATTTCATAGTAAATCTTTGCGCACTAACATTAGAGACTTATGCTGGAGCATTTAAATCGAAAATAGGCCTCAGCAGAGCCTCACCACAGCTATAGATTATATAGTAGCAAGGCCATGAACTGGAGTATTGAGCCGCTGTATTTGTATTACTGAACAGGTTTTGTTAAAATCAGCGGTTGGTTTGGCATGAACATTAATAGGAGGTTACCAGGATGCCATTTTCACGCATGTTCTCCCTTGAGACTTGTTTCGGCAATTGCTCACACTTCTGCCAAAAGGGCAGCAGCTGCACAATCAAAACATATCTACCAGGTTTATCACATCATTCTCTGGGAAGTTACCAAAGCTGGCTCTGTCCTTCCTAACACATGACCCCAAAAAAGAAAAAAAGAAAAGGAAAACAAACCTATTTATAAACCTTTTTTATTTTACGTCATCTCCTGTGTTAGAGTAATGGCACTGAAAATACTAGAACTGCAGGCAGCTTAAGAAGAAGCATCCCCCACCCCTTTCCCCTCCAACCAATGATTACATGAACTCTGCGCTCTGCGTTTGTGTGCCGACGTGCTTGACATAACATGCTGGATTCTAGCAGCAGGAGCGGCAGTGGCAGAGAAGATTACTGTGGAGCCAGACACCAGCCCTGGCAGGATTGGGCTACTGAACGGCCAACTGCTGCCTCGCGCTGCCTTCTGGGAGGCAGAAATGTGGGTCACACTAGAGGTGCTAAGATGAGATCAGATGGGTCCCCTCCCCACCCGCCTAATCTAAATCCACAAGCCCGGACCAAAGATGCTCTGGCTGCTGATGTGTTGAGCTTCGATTTGGTTTAGTTTGTTATATAATTCTTCACCTCACAGGACTTCTGGTGGGAGTGTGGTTGATGAGTAAAAATTCAATCTCAAGCTGCTGTTTGTCTTGCTTTTTTAGACCTGTGGCATTATTTCAAAACCCCTTTTGATTCCAAAGCCACCAACTTTTACTTATTACTTCTAGACAGCAGATCTGTATTTGTTTGTTGTTTCTCCCCCTGTCCATCTTTAATCTGTCTTCTTTGCTGAATCTAAAATTTTGTCTACACCAATTTCCCACGCACTCACCTTTGTCCCGCCCACACTAATGATGCGATACACGTTGCGGGTGGCATCGTAGAAGAAGGACACTGTGACAGCATGCTTGCTGGCCGGTATCCAGTTCCTCTTGGTGGTGGGGTCGATTTGGAAAACATGGGCCCGGGCGCTGAAGATCGGCTGCTCCCTGAAGGAGGAATCACAGAGGGATGATGATTAGATGCTGTGAGAAGGGAATGTCAAAGTAAAAATTCCTCTTTGCAGACTTAAAGTAATGTGCACTGGCACTGAAGGAACTGAATGTAAAGTCTAAATGTATAAAATGAGCATCAAACCATTAAAATATGGTCCATTAATAAAACCGTTTTGCTTAAAAATCCTTTCTTGTTTGCATGAAAAACACAAATCTGTCTTTTTTTTCTTCATAACAGGACATCTCTGTCTCCCCTGTCATCCAGGGACAGATCATCCTTTGGCTATCTCCCACTATTTTTCCTGCGTCATCCACCAGTCAAACAGGGTTAGCTGGCAAAGCATGTTGACTAGAACTCTCTGAACCCACTCCCGAGTCGTCACCCTCCACGCTCTGATCTGCGCCTGGCAGGTTTTGCTCCGATGTATCCTGGATACGAGGTAAATATATCAAAGCAACACAGTCAGTGGTGCCGGGAGGTGGTTTAGCCACTGCCCTGTGGTGTGAACAGCAGCACTGCTAACCCCTCCTTTCTCCTCAGCAGGGGTGAAAGTGAGTATCACAAGAAGACGCCTCTGTCATTCACTGGTATAGAAATGCAAATCAGAAGAGCTGCTATGTAGTAAAATAATGAAATAGTTCAAAAAAAGGACGTGCATTCTTTAACGCACTATAGCTATTTCCAGTGGAACTGCATTATTTTGGCTAGTCTTGGTGCAGTGACCTCATTGCAAATACAAAAACCAACAATGGTTTCTCTGGATGCATTTCATGTAGACATGGTTGAGATAACCTGCTATAGTTCACAATGACCATCAGAATGGAGAAAGGTGCTTAAAAAAGGGACTTTGCTGTTGGTGCCAGACAGGCTGGTCTGAGTATTTCGGAAACTGTTGATCTACTGGGATTTTCCCACACAATAATTTCTAGGGTTTACAGAGAATGGTCTGAAAATATCCACTTGGCTTGTTGATGCCAAGGTCAGAGGAGAATGGCCAGCCTGCTTCAATTCTGACCCTACCTGGGGGGCAACATTAATTCAAATAATCACTCATTACAACCAAGTTAAGCAGAAGAGCATCTCTGAATGCATAACACATCTACCCTTGAAGCAGATGGGCTACAGCAGCAGAAGCCCAACCCTTTCAACCATGTTCCAGTCTGATAATAAGCCATGCTGCAATTCTGCTTTTCAGTCACATTAACTCTCTGCTGCCTGCGGCTTTTATGCTTCCTGATTAAGACAGGAAACAGCATAAAGGTCAGCCCGCTGTGACCTCTGCAGAAAATGGTACAAACAGGTCATTATTTAAGCCCAAGGGGAAAAAAGCTACTAACCAGTTATCAGAAAGTCAAGGGACTATCAAATAATCTGTCATATTTATGTTATTCTTTATTTTCCATGAAGCCCATGAGTCAGTCAATAAGGTCATTGATGTCAAACAATCATAAAGTGCTAGTTTTACACAGAACATAAAATGGGTAAGAGTGAAGGCGGACCTGCTATTAACTCTAATATCATCCCATCACTGCCACGCTTTCACCTTGCCTGAGGTGACGAGCTCTGCCACATAATATCTGGCATCCGACCGAACAACACGGACCGCTTTGCAAACAGAACGAACCAGGAATCAACCAAACGGACAAACACAGGCTGCAAACGTGTTTGTGTCAACATGTTTAGTTTCCTCTCTCAGAAAACGTTTGAAACACAAAGGTGGTCAAACTAGTGTATGTATATGCTGAAAGAAATGAACAGTGTAGTTTTTATGGCAGCTGCATTTTAACAGAGACAAAATATGAAACAAAAACCTTATGTCTGGAGCTGCATGCATGATTTTGACAAATGGGGTGAGGATGATTGTTGAGGAAGGTGGTGGATCAGCCCAAAGCTCCACGGGAAGAGATTGTTAACGATCTGAAGGCAGTTGGAACTGCAGTCACCAACAACACCATTGGTAACACAGGATGCTGCAATACATTGAAATATTGCAGAACCTGCAAGTTCCCCTTCTCAAGAAGGCACGTGCACACCTCTGTCTTCAGTTTGCCAGTCACAATCTCGATTTAGAGAAGGTTTGCGAGAAAACCAATATCGAGCTCTTTGGAAGAGAAATGCTGAGTTCGACTAAAAGAACACCATCCTCTACAGACAAGCACAGAGGTGGAAACAGACAGGGCCATGTACCATGAAACTGTGGATACTGCCAAAGCACCAAAGGAGTGGCTAAAGAAGAGGTCATAAAGTGGTGCAGCCAGGCTCCAGACCTCAATCTTACAGAAAACGGTTGGAGGGAACTGAAGCATCAAACTGCATAGCAGCAGTCAAGAATTTCACTCACTGATCTGCAAATCAATTATAACTTTTATGTGATGTTTACTTTTCTTGTCGAATGAAGTGATTCACCAGGGGATCGAATAATTATTTCCCCCTCTGTATAGTCTGTTAACTGAACAGCAGAACAATTCAATTACTTGACCTTCATCCTCAGTAGAGGGGGTGGCCTACTTAATGGAGGTCTCTAAGCATGATAACAAAGCCTGGGAGTGATTAGACAGGAATTAGTGTGTTCATCCTGAGGCGTAGCTCTGACCTCTGTCACTAACTACAATATCTAAAATCTGTTTCACCTGGTTTCTTTTGATCTAAATCTTCTAAGAGAAATGTTAAACACTACACAGTCTGATTAATAAAAAAGGGAGTGAGGCAGCAATAGGAAATATCTACATTAACGTGAGTGAAAGTAGGATTTTGTCATGGTAACACCTGCTCCCCTAGGATGGCCCCAGAATCGATGCTTCTCCTCCCAATCAGCTGAAAATGGTTTTAAATAAACTAAGCTGGGGCCACATGGGACTACATAACAATATGTCTTAATTTAACAGATTCATTAAGTCTGAAATGAAACCAGAGCGCTGCTCCAGATGTGCTCCACAGCCAGCATCAGCAGAGCAGTGATAAATGTTCATATGCAGCCTTACTACTACAGTTTTAAACTCACTATAAATGATTGCTTTAAATCAAAGCTTAAGTCCCCCTGATCTGATAACAAGATCTCAAAGTATTTGTGTTAGATTTATGTAAAGTGTCTGCCATCCCGATGTCACATGCAAGTACAAGAAATCTAAATAAATAAATAAATAAATAAATAGAAAAGGACAAGCTGGTAGATGGCCATACCTTTCTCTGTGGTGAGGAAACATCTTAGAAGATCACCAAGACTTCTTTTCTGTAAAAGAAAAGACTGAGGATTGGTTAGACAACTGTTAACGTAAATTACTTTAATAAAAAAATTATACCAGAAAAAAAACCCCGGAATAATCATAAAAGTTTGTCCCTGTAGTTTAACATTTTTCCCCGCTCTTAATTCTTACTTAAAGTCTAGTTAAATCTGTGTCGTGGATAGAGAGGCGCTTACCCCATTTCGGTGTAAAACCTCGTCGAGTCTGTTATCTAACAATATTTTGCGTCCTGAAACTGCTGCTGCTGTCCCAGTTGGTCTCCTCTTCCTTTCAGTCACAGCTACCAGATGCTTTATTCTTGCTTTATTCTCCAGGGGGGGGAGGTTTCACCGCAAGGCGCTGCACTCCGCCTGCTGCAGCCCGCCAAGTGGCACCGTCCTGCCCCGAGCAGCTCGCAGAGTCAGAAGCCGGGGAGAGCAGAGCTGCTGCGGACGGCAATGGCTGAAGTGACCGCGGGCTGCTCCGAGTCCATCTTCGTCCTGCCACAGAACACGGGACCTCTCTTTGTTTCCTCGTCTTTCACTGCTTATCCTGTACGGCCAAACCTCTCTGTTCTCCCCTTCAGTTGTTGGCTCTTCATCCGGCCGGCTGTTCGCATTCAACAGCCGGCTGTATAGTACCACCTGCTGGCTCTGCAGCCTCCAAACACCCGCTCCAGCTGTGTGTGACAGTCAGGTATGGAAACTATGTCAACGCGCCTGCATGTGTGCAGTGCAAACCGGAGCTTTAAGGTCTGCCTTGACCTAAAAAAGAAAAAGAAGAAGAAGAAAAAAAAGTGAAGAGTCGTGCAACAGCCCATTTAGGACCTATTGGTGTAATGAGATTTTGCAATATGAGAATCCTCCTGTTGTTTTGCCCTCTTAAGCAGATTAAAGAGAACTCCACATGCTAGTAATTCATCTCACAGGAGAAATAAAAGACTCAAATCAAGCTGAATGAGCAAAAAGAAGCAAACTTTAATTTTCCAAGATTATTAACACAAGATTTTCTTTTTGTGAGTACACTTTTTAAGCACCAACATCAGTTAGTGGGAAGAAAACAAAAACAAAAAACAGTGCAGCAAACATAAAAACATTGTTCACTTCAGCTTTAAACAGCAATAAGCCAAACAAGGTCACAGCAAAAGTACAGAGGAAGAACTCAAAAGTTAGCCTCAGTTCATAAGACATGCAAAAACCACGTGTAGGCTTGAGATGTTTTATATGTTGGTGATTTTTATGTAAAAGGTAAAGCAGAGCAGTTTTCAAAGTTGAAGATGTGGAGTCGAAGAATAATTTAGAGCAAATCTACAGATATATAAATGGGGTGAGACTATTAATTTGATGTCCTACACAGCATAAAGACACACCTACTTAACTTGCCTATTGTAGCATTAAAGAAAAACCAATAATTCACGCTTCGCAGGTTTCATTCCTGTGGATGCCTTTTCTCTTTGGCAGCCTGAGCACTCTTCACCACACGCTCTGCCCTCTTAGCATCTACAACAGGATGTTAAAATTATTAAGACGCTTTGGCTCAGAGTGGACAATCCAAAGCCATTACCGCTCAGAAAATGACAAAGTTCTTCAGTATAGTGGATTCAACAACATAAAAAGGAAAGCTTTTAGCATCACATGGATAACATGAGGCGGTGAAAGATACTGATGTAAGCTTCACTAGTGCGAAACGAGAACTTACAACACCGAGTACTGAAACAGAGATACAAAGTTCATCATAGACCAAACTAACTGCTCTGTCCTCAACATGATTGTACTACTGCTTTAACAGTTTCACACTCTTCTATAGGTTAAAGACTAACAAAAAGCAAAGAAAATCAAGATGAATGGGGGGTGGGGGGGTGCTTATCTACATAAATGTTAAACTTGGGTTACATGTGTTCGTAATTTGAAGGTAACTTCACCTAAGATGTGTAACCTCTAAATGTGTCATCGGTCGACTTCTCAAATGCATCATCAAAACATCTGTGTCCAACGTGGTGAAACCAAGTTGTCCGTTGTACAGTTGAGCCTTACATGTTTTCACCCTCCTTTTCAGTGAGCATTCATGTCAAGTACTCCACCACGTGTACCATTTACACCTCTGTCTCACCGTCTGCATGTTTTATGACGTCTGACTTCAGGGCAAGGCTCTTTGGGAAGTTCTGCCCTCTTGATTCGGCTTATCAGGCGCTTTCAGCTATATGTGCTTGGCGACTGCTATCTGCTAGCTTTAGCAGCTTTGGGGGAGGGGTCAGCAGAAAAGAATGACAGCTTTATTCAGTTACAAGCTGGTTACAGTGCCCTCACTCGTCCTTTTGCACTATTAAAAAGACACAAAGAAGAACAACAAAACAAAACAAAAACAAAAAACAAAAACAAAATTATCTCACGATCCGCAGGTCTTTGGAGCTCAGATTTGGAGACAAAAATGTTTTTCTTTTTTACGTTTGCACATTTAAGAGCTTCTTCCACCACTTTGTTCTTTGCAGACCACCTAGGGAAAGACCCGCCTTGAAAGATGGCCAACTACACTAGCTTGCGTCACTGAAAACCCTCAATGAAAACAGCCTTTATTTAGAAAACTTTCCAACTCAAAGCTGAGAAAGCAAAGCAAATGACCCATAACTGGTTAGTCCTCAAATTTCTTTTAAACCTCTGAGGCACAGCACCACAAGCATTTCTGAGTTCTGTTGAGATGCCAAACGTTTCTCCCGGTTGCTTAAAAATGTGATCAAATGCAGAACCTCGATTCAAGCTTTGAGTTTAAAAAAGTTGCCATGTCAACTGCTTCAAGAGCTGCGTCTCCATTTATTTTTCTCTCTCACTCCAAGTCACAGTGGACGTCCTGTTGTTAGCTTGGAGGACTTGTGTGAGACACCTCTTCTCCTTCTTTCTCAGCTTTTGGAGCAAGAATCCCAACCACACCGCCTGGAGATCCGAGGGTTCGGGGGCACGCGAGGGACAAGATGACGCAGTCGGCCCCTTTCCCCTCTCCAGAATGCCTCAGATCTTTTCGCCCTCCTCGACCTGTTGAAGGTCTCACCTCTCCCAACTGCGCCGCTCCGAGGACAACAGCTTTCTCCTTTGCTATGTCTTCGCGTGTGAGCAGCAGTGCCTTCTCTCCTCTACCAGTCTCCCACTCTTTCCGTCTTGCTCTCGTCCTGTCCAGCTCTACTCCCATTTTTACTCTCACTCTTGTGATTGGTTGGTTTCTCACGGTCTCTCTCCTGTTACTTTCACACAGTGGTGCTTCGGTTGTAGCAGTGGAAAACGGGTATCCATGTTTGTTCTTTTTTGTTATTACCCAGATTAAAATACCAATGAACTAAGCTTCACACAGGCCTAGCTCCTTTCCTGCAACCTGCAAGACAAACACACTTGTTTCAGAGAACATTCATTTAGCTTTTCAGTGCACTGCAACATACACATTGTATCAGACTCTGAAATTAATCCAAGTCTCTTAAATGTTAAATAAAAAGTTGGAGAAACCCGTTAGTAAGTTCAGCTTAACATAAAGATAAAAACAGCTTGCCTGATCTGCAAGGGCAACAAAACCCACACAACAGCACATCGAGCTCTGGCACGTGTGTTCAAAGTTAAAGTTAGTTCTAACCTATGTGTTAAAAGCGCATGATAGCATAATTTAATCAAAAAAGTTGAACTACTCCTTTCATTTTAGTGAGTCATCTTAGCCCACAGTGGAATATCTTACAGTCTAGTACTGGGACAGTCCAGTCACACCACCATGGTAGGCCCGCTCCCCCTGGTACGTGGAATCCTGGGACAAAGCCACATCAATCTGAGACTTGAACTCATCTCCAAGGTAACTGTCCTATAACGGGACAAACAAAAAGAGATCAGTCAACAGTTATTCCTTCATTTCCTTCCATGCAGTAGAGAAATCTTGGACATGTTTTTAAGAGAAAATCTGGGCAAATGCTGGACTAGGTCAGAAACAGTTTTTCAGATAAACAAACCAACCTGGGAGAGTTCAGGCTGGGAGAGCCCAGGCTGGCTCATCTGTGACGGCTGGCTCATGTTAATGTAGCCCTGCGTCAGAGGGCCCTGGGAGAACGGCTGGGAGCCCTGGTCCTGGCTAGTCTGGCTTGTAGTCATTTGACCCCCATGCTGTCCGCGGTCTGTTCCACCGCTGTGGTTTCCACGGTTTCTTTGACGGCCACCTCGAGTTCCCCCACCTCCTCCGCTGCCCGATTTGCCCTTTAGACCGCCACCGCGACCTGTTCGTAGATCAAGTCGGGTAACAAAATTCCATTAAACAATTCCTAGCTGCCTTAAGGGGAAACTGGAGGTAGCATGACAAATTTATGACTTTCTCACCTCCTGTAGGTCCATTCACCTGTCCCAAGTATCCTGGTGGAGGAATCGGAGGCATCACAAGGTTGAAGGGGATTGGGATGTTCATGGAGGACATGGGATTGGCACCTGTGCCAATCATACCGATCTGGTCATGCGTCTGGAAATACATGTTGGACGAACGCCCTGCAGTAGTACGCATGTTAAATGCACTTAGTTAATTATACTTTTTCAGTTGGGGGAAAAAGGTGTGTATGGGGTAAGAAAGACATCTCACCGTTGCTGCTACGATCGTAAACAGACCCAGGAATGAGGGCCTCCCTCGCATCATACATAGCTGTGCTCATGAATCGGCCACCCTAAAAAAGAAAACAATAAGAAAGCTCATCTTTGCGTCTTTGCAGTGATGTATTATACTGGTTTATTTTTAGTCCTCAGTACAAAAGCAACAAATATTCATAATCGAAAAACAACAAACAAAAAAAACAAACACACACACACACACACACACACACACACACACACACACACACACACACACACACACACACATAAACTCACAGGGTTGATGGTGTTCACCAGCTTGCGGGGCTTGCTGAATTGCATGAGGCTCTCCCTCAGGTTGTTGAGTGGGCCTTCAACCAGGACCTTCTGCTCCTTGTAGTAATTGAGCAGGTGGTTCCAAAGAGGCTGCTTGGACAGGGCTTTGGGGTTTCCCACAATGATCACGCCATATCTGTGACAGAGCAAAAGACAGTAACAAATTAGGGCACGTTGTCCTCAAAGTGATGGTTTCAAAAAGCTGGTGAGGTTTCTTGCATTACCTGGCCCTGGTGAGTGCCACGTTAAGACGTCTGGGATCATTGAGGAAGCCGATGCCCTGGTGCTCGTTGGCCCTCACGCAGGACAGGATGATGAAGTCTTTCTCTCTCCCTTGGAAAGCATCAACACTGGCTATTTCCACCTCCTGCACAAAGTATGAAGACATTCTTGGGTGA